CTCGGACGTGTGTGGCCCCGTGACGCCCGTTGGATTGTACGGTTCAAGGTTCTTCGTCACCTTCATCGACGACTGGACGCACTTCACAGTCGTGTTTCTGATGGAGTCGAAGAGAGAGGTGCTGCGCTGTTTCGAACAGTATGAGGCCATGGTGACGGCCAAATTCGGCAAGCAAATTTCTCGGCTACGGTGTGACAACGGAGGTGAGTACACCGGCAAACATTTTAAGAAATTCTGTGCAAATAAAGGTATCCAGATGGAACTGACGGTGGCCTACATCCCTGAGCAGAACGGTGTCAGCGAGCGGATGAACCGTACGCTCGTTGAGAAAGCCAGGGCAATGTTAGTGGATTCGGGCGTAAGCAAGGAGTTCTGGGGCCAGGCCGTGTAGACAGCTGCCTACTTGCTGAACAGGAGTCCCACCTGTGCGGTGCAGACGAAGAAGACGCCGTTCGAGTTGTGGGAAGATAAGAAACCGGACGTTTCGAAACTGAGAGTGTTTGGGTGTTCCGTGTTCGTGCACGTACCGTCGCAGCTTAGGAAGAAGTTGGACTCTAAATCGTGGCGCGGCATTTTTCTCGGTTATTCTCCCAATGGTTACAGAGTTTGGGATCCGGTAAAGCGCCGGATTGTGACCGCTCGAGATGTGGTTTTTGTGGAGACGGATATCGGGCAAGAGGAGCAGCCCAAGCCTGTTGCTGGTGATCAGTTCGTCGAGATTTCGTCGAGTCCAGTTCCGGAGAGCGAAGAAGAAGAAGCTGACGGTGATGGTGATGCTGAGTCGTCTGAGGAAGAGTATGAAAGCTTGTCTGAAGAATCTTCCGGTGAATCCAGTGAATCTGGGGATGAAACAGCGGATGTTAACCTGGAGGATGGTAGACCGCAACGAGATCGTGCTCCACCGGCATGGCATAGAGACTTTGAGTTTGAGTACGCTGGATTCGCCTTAAACGCAATGAGTTACGTCGACAACATTCCGGGTTCGATTGCTGAGCTGAAACGGCGTGACGATTGGGACAACTGGAGATTAGCCATAGAAGAGGAAATGGATTCGCTGCGGCGGAACAACACGTGGACATTGACAGAGCTTCCCGCTGGTAGGAAGGCTGTGTCCTGTAAGTGGGTGTTTCGTATTAAGCGCGGGGATGGCGATGTACCTGACCGGTATAAGGCGAGACTGGTGGCCCGTGGCTTCAGTCAAAGGCAAGGCTTCGACTATACGGAAACCTACTCTCCGGTGGCGAAATTGGACACCCTTCGGACGGTTCTGGCGTTGGCGAATCGTGACCGTTTGCATGTTCACCAGATGGATGTGCGGACGGCGTTTTTGAATGGCACGCTTAGTGAGGAGATCTTCATGACCCAGCCGGATGGATTTCAGCAGGGGAAGAATCTGGTCTGCCGTTTAAATCGTTCCATTTACGGGCTCAAGCAAGCGTCCCGTGCCTGGAATCAGAGGTTTCACGAGTTCACCGAGAAGCTGGGATTGAAGCAGAGCGCCAATGATCAGTGCCTGTACACCATGGGCGAGGGACGAGAAAGGATCATCGTCATAGTGTACGTCGATGATGTTTTGATCGTCAGAGCGTCGTTGCAGACCGTGAAGGCAATTAAACGGAAGTTCAGCGAAGAATTTGAGATGACTGATGCTGGTGAGGTGAGGCAATTTCTCGGGATGACGATCAAGAGGCACGTTGAAGCTGGAACCATGAAGATCAGCCAGACAGGGTATCTTGAGAGCTTGCTTCGCCGCTTCGACATGATGGAGTGCAAATCGATTTCGACTCCCATGGAGAATCGCCTGCGGTTGGAGAAAGGGGTAGAGGAGCGGAGGACAGATAAACCCTATCGAGAGCTGGTAGGGTGTTTGATGTATGCTTCGCTCACGGCTCGGCCTGACTTGTCTGCTGCCGTGAACTACTATAGCCAGTTCCAGGCCTGCCCGAATGAGGAACACTGGGTGCACCTCAAACGGGTTCTCAGATATGTGAAGGGGACGCTGGACTACGGACTGTTGTACAAAGCGGAGACGGAAGAGGAGCTGTTGCAGGTTTTCTCGGATGCGGACTGGGCAAATGACCTCATCGATCGGCGATCAGTCACAGGCTGTATTTTCAAGGTTTCGGGATGCACAGTCAGTTGGACGACAAGAAAACAGCACACGGTGTCGTTGTCATCTACCGAGGCGGAACTCGCGGCGCTAGTGACGGCTGCATGTCATACGCTGTGGATGAAACGACTTCTTCTGGATCTCGGGTACGAGCCCAAGGGTCCTATAACGATTCTGGAAGATAACCAATCAACCATCAGAATTGCTGAGGATGCAAGAGACCATGGACGCCTGAAACATGTGGATACCAAGTATCACTTCTTGAGGGAGCTCATTCAACAAGCGGTGATTACAGTGGAGTTCGTTTGCTCATCGGACCAGCAGGCGGACATTATGACGAAGGCCCTACCTTCGGCATCCTTCAAGAAGCTGCGATCGGAGCTAGGTATTGGACCTTGCTGTGGTTGAGCAGGGGTGTTGGGATGGCAACCACTGCTCGGTTTGCCCCCACCAAACTACGGCACTGCGTAGAGGAAAAACGTCACTTTGTTTACTTTTGCTTTTCTCATTCCAAACACTTTTCTCGCAGAATACACACGTTGTTATTTGTAACCTAAAAAGTAGTTCGCGTTTCTTTCTCCTGGTCCATCCGAAATCCCATTAGATCAAGCTGAGGCATTCGTCGTCTACTCGGATTCCGATTGGGGCAATGATATTACCGACAGTATACCTGGCATATTACCAACAATCAATACGAAACTAACGATTTTTAAATTGGCTCACCACTTTAGTAGCCTATTGGTCCCAAGCAAACGATTAACGTACCCTATTCTAGTTGAAATTCTATTACTACACTATGTTTGTTTTGATTCGCTATGAAAGTTTGACAGATAACATCAGGGGTGTGTGGATTCATGCAGAACATGCAGGGGTGAGTGAAATAGCTTGGGACTGCTTGGGACCGTTGTTCTGGTACTGAGTGAGCCAAAAATAATAATGATTTTCTTCGGGACCCAGTGGTCTTAGAGTTACCTCTATGATATTACCTGGCAGTAAACTTCGTGTGTACGGTGGCGCTGTAGCCTGGCTTACGAGAAAGCAACAGACTGTTGCACTTTCATCTGCTGAGGCGGAGCTTGTGGTACTATGCACCACCGCATTACCAGCACTGCCAGCTTCCGCCTGCTGCTGTCTGCGCGGCACAGTCTCGTTGTGAGGGGGTTAACTCAGCATGGAGGAAAGCCGATAACATGCTGAAAGAATCTTCGATTTGGATGAAACTTTGTACAGAGTCATTTGGAAACAAGCGTAATTTTTCACAAACGCGTATTTGTTTTGGCACACAATTTATTCAAACAATCCTACTTGGAAAAACTTCGAGTGTAGAGCAAAACCGTCTAGGGAAAAAATGTAGGCTGAACATTAGGCTTTACGAAAAATATATGATCAGAGAACAATGCTCATTTCGTTTGACGTACAGTTAAAATGAACTTAAAATGTCTACGTTGTTCTGTGATTAGGTAAAATTACAGTCAATTTATGAAACTGGTCCTAGAGTTTGGACTTCTGACCGGAAAATGGAGCCCCCTACGGGATTAAATTAGTCCTAGAAAGCACTTCTAGAAGACTCATTTGAACAAATTCGGACTTGTGACCGGAAAATGGTCACTGGAATCTACCGGGTGAGTTTTTGGAAGGTCCTGAACAGCAGCGAAAATGGTCAATTCATGAAACTGGACCTAGTGCTCTGAGTTTTTTTTCGAAAGCAGTTTTAGAAGACTAATTATATTGAATTCGAACCCGTGACCAGAACCTGGGTAACCTACCAAATAATCCGGAACTTTAGTAAAAGTTCATAATCATTATTTCTAGAAGACTCATTAGAATAAATTCGGACTTGTGTCCGGGAAATGGACCCCATGGTCTACAGGGTGGCCTTTAGGATATTCCAGAACAACCGTAAATTGGTTCAAGTAGGTAGGTTATCAAATTTTCAAATTCAAACGCAAAAAAGCCCTTGAAAGGGTATCCTGTAAATAAGCGCTAAACGCAATCATCACATTAGAATATCCAATTAACTAGAACAAAGTTGATGAAGAGCCAAAGTCTAACCAATTGAAATGTAAAACCAAATGTTGAAACATAAAAAAAAACCGCAAATAAACGTAAATTTTACTACCGATGGGGACCAGACATAGCAAGTCGTTCGATTGCATAATTCTCCAAGTAGGAGGGACTTACAATGCTAATCTCTTAGCGTAAATAGTGGTACCGTCGAGATTTTTCAGTACTACCACCGGTTGGAAACTAACGATTTAAAATGGGCTCACTAGTCACTACTTGACTAGCCTATTGGTCCCAAGCAAATCGATTAACGTACCCCATTCTAGTCGAAACAGCGCCGGTAGCATTGGTGCTCAGCACGGAAAACAAGTCAAAGGCGATATCCGAAGACGGATCCTAATGACGGATTCCGATGGCGAATCCGAAGCCGGATCCTGAAAGTTTAGGTTAAATGCAAGTTAGTTGTTGGGGGAAGTATTTCGGTATCGTGGTCAAAAACACCTCTTTGCTAGCATCCCGGTTGAATGGCGTTTCTTTCAACGATCTAATGCTAAAAGGGCCAGACATGCTGACTGCTCTACCTACCGTTCTACCAACAATCAATACGAAACTAACGATTTTAAATTGGCTCACCACTTTAGTAGCCTATTGGTCCCAAGCAAACGATTAACGTACCCTATTCTAGTTGAAATTCTATTACTACACTATGTTTGTTTTGATTCGCTATGAAAGTTTGACAGATAACATCAGGGGTGTGTGGATTCATGCAGAACATGCAGGGGTGAGTGAAATAGCTTGGGACTGCTTGGGACCGTTGTTCTGGTACTGAGTGAGCCAAAAATAATAATGATTTTCTTCGGGACCCAGTGGTCTTAGAGTTACCTCTATGGTTCTACTGCGTTTCCGGCAGAAGCGCGTGGCATTCAGTGGAGACCACCAATTCCTGATCCGGAAAAAGGATAAACAGGCACAGAGGTTCGTATTGGATGATGGATGTTGCCACATTTGGCGCAGCGTGCTCACCGTGCATCGCACAGTATCTGAAAAACAGGAATGCAGAGGAGTACGCGGACCAATTCCCAGATACAGCCAGGGCCATCATCGAAAACCATTACGTTGACGACTATCTGGATAGTGTGGAGACGGTAGAAGAAGCGGTAGAGCTGATAGAGGAAGTGAAACATGTGCATTCCAAGGCTGGAATGGAGATTCGAAACTTTTCGTCGAACTCCTCAGAAGTGCTCGAGCGCATAGGAGAAACCAGCAAAGTTCAGCAGAAGTCCCTCAACCTGGATTCGGATGTAGAGAGAGTACTGGGTATGGTATGGAGACCATCAGAAGACGTTTTCAGTTTCGAAATCAGTCTGAAGGAGGAGGTTCGAAACATTGTGGAGAGTCAGGATGCACCTACAAAACGTCAAGTCCTACGAACGATCATGCCTCTGTTTGATCCATTAGGGCTGGTGGCACACTTCTCGGTTCACGGGAAGATACTCATGCAGTGAATCTGGAGAAGTGGAGCGGATTGGGACGAAACAATTCGTGGTGAAATACTGGAAGACTGGCGCAAGTGGATCGGATTGCTTGCTAAGATAAATGAAGTCCGTGTGCCAAGATGCTTCTTCACCGGAACAAGAGATACACCGAAAAATACGCAAATTCATGTCTTTGTCGATGCGAGCGAAAACGCGTACGCATGCGTAGCGTATCTTCGGAACACGAGCAATGCACAGTTCGAAAAAGTAGTGTAAATTTCTGTTCAATATGATGCACATAAATGGAGCGTCACATATCATATAAGTTTACATTATAACTCATGTAAAGTTCTGAGACATTTCATGTAATATAGCAAATACTGTATACAAAAGCCCATCTTTGTAAACAATATTGTTTACAAGTTGCTCAGTTGCGTGAAAAGAAATACAAGTTTACGTGGATGAATGTTTACATCACAATTAAAATTCAGAATTTTTATCTGTGTGGGAAACCTCAATGCACACTGATAGCTGCGAAGACAAAAGTAGCACCGTTGAAACCCCTCTCAATTCCGAGGCTTGAGTTGCACGCAGCTTTAATCGGTTCACGACTGCTGGACAGCGTTTGCAAGGCGCTGACATTGCCAGTGGCCGCTCAATTCCTCTGTTCAGACTCGACAACCGTTCTCGCTTGGCTGAAGTCCGAGACTCGACGATATCATCAATTCGTCGGCTTCCGAGTAGGAGAAATTCCGAGTACGACTACCGTTGATGAATGGAGAAAGGTTCAATCGAAGGTAAATGTAGCGGATCAATCGACGAAGTGGAGAGACGGACCCAGTTTTAGACCCGACGACTGGTGGTATGTAGGGCCGGCTTTCCTGATGGAACCGGACGAGAGCTGGCGAAAGGAAAATTCAGAGGAGTATTCGACAGCAGAGGAACAACGAGCAGTCTTTCTACATCATCGAGTCATATCGCCACTGATCATAGATGTTCAGCGATTCTCCAAGTGGTCGAGGCTTCAGCGGACGACCGGATACGTTGTTAGAGCGACGAAGGTGTTCCTAGGCCTGCACGCTGAGGGCCCACTTACGCAAGAAGAGCTGCTGAAGGCCGAAGCCATGATCTTTCAACAGGTGCAAAAACATGCATATGCGGATGAATACGTCACGCTTAGCTACAACAATGAGCACCCAGATGCGGAACCGAAGCAGATCGCAAGATCGAGTGCATTGTACAAGTTGAGTCCGATGCTGGACGACGATGGAGTTCTTCGGATGAATAGCCGTATCGCAGCAGCACCAATGGTAACCAAGGATGCGAGATTTCCGATCTTCCTCCCCAAGAGTCATCGGGTGACGGAATTGCTCGTAGAATGTTATCTTGTTCGTTTTCTACATGGAAACCACGAAACGGTAGTCAACGAGATAAGACAGCGGTTTCGGATTTCCCAACTTCGCTCGGTGGTTGCGAAGGTAGTTAAGCAGTGTCAGCATTGTCGTGTTCAGAAGGCAGCCCCAAGGGCACCGATCATGGCACCTCTTCCTGAGATCCGGCTGACTGCCTTTATACGACCATTCACACACACTGGGGTGTACAACTTCGGTCCCGTCTTCGTAAAACAAGGACGAAGCACGGTCAAGCGTTGGGTAGCGCTCTTCACGTGCCTGTCAATCAGAGCAGTGCATCTCTAGATCGTCCACAGCCTGTCCACCCAGTCATGCGTGATGGCCATTAGAAGGTTCGTTGCACGCAGGGGTTCATCAGCAACGTTCTATTCAGACAATGGAACCAACTTCGTAGGGGCGAGCAACTTGTTTAAGGAGCAGCTCAAGGCAATCACGGAGCATTGCGCTGTAACCTTTACGAACGTGAGCACGAGATGGCTATTCAATCCACCCCTAGCGCCACACATGGGAGGACCGTGGGAGCGCATGGTCAGGTCGGTTAAGGTGGCAATGGCGGCGATCGCAGATCATCCACACCACCCCAGTGATGAGGTCCTGGAGACTGTTGCGCTTGAAGCCGAGTCGATAGTCAACTCAAGACCGCTAACTTACATCCCTTTGGATCATGCGGATCAAGCGGCCCTCACACCGAACCATTTCTTGCTCTACGAGACACAAGGCATCAACCAACCTAGTCGGGACCTACAGCACGAGTATGCAACTCTGAGGGACAGCTTGATATGTTCTGGAGCCGCTGGTTACACGAATACCTACCTACGCTAACACACCGCACCAAATGGATCCAGCCAGTAAAACCGTTGACGCCCGGTGATTTAGTGGTTGTGGTCGATGAAGGCAAGCGCAACGGATGGCTGCGAGGGCGAATTCTGAACGTCGTGACAGGAAAGGATGGGCAAGTTCGCAGAGCAGTAGTGCACACTTCCCGGGGAATGGTTAGTCGACCAGCAACCAAGTTGGCGTTGCTGGAAGTTCGTGAAATGCCTGAAAAATCGAAAAAGAAGTGTTCGAGTGAACCGGAACTACACGGGCGTGGGTATGTTGGCGAACCCACTGGGCAGACTCCGCCGGCTGTCAAGTGAGTCCCGGTTACACCCTTTGCGATTTGTGCGGTCGAGTATAAGTGGCAGTGGATTAACTATCAAGAATAATGATTGGAACGAAAGGAAAGAGAGGTTGAAGATCATAAACAAAGTAAATTTATTGTGAAAAGAAATAAGATTTTGTGAATAGGAAAATTGTGAAATTTAATGAAAATTGAGGTTTATTCCTGGTTAAATTTATAAAACTATTGTATCGAAAAAGTAACTGCTGAAATGTAAAATGAAGTGTATCTATTTAATTTAATCATTGTTGGAAACAGATTCGTAGTGGGAAGTAGTGGAAGAAAACTAACCTATAGGATTCGTGAAAATACCAAAATGTGAGTTTTTTCTATAAATACCAAGCTAAAGCTAACAAAAATAATAAAATTCCAGCTTTGAAGCTGCGCCAACCGGGCTGCTAGCAAAGAGGTGTTTTTGACCACGATACCGAAATACTTCCTCCAACATTAGTGTTAAGTTAAAATGAAGTCAAAGTAAAGTAAAGTTAATTATTTAAAGTTACGTTAAACTTTGGTTAAAGATAAAAGCAAGTAGAGTTTAAATAAAATTGAAGTTAAATTAAAGTTTGGATAATATTTAGTGAAGATTAAGATAAAGTTCAGTTAAAGTTAAGTTAAAGATATATTAAATCTAAGATATAATTATGTTAAAGTTAAGCTAAAGTTAAGTGGAAGTTAAATCAATTTTTAGATGAAGTGTACTTATAGCCAATTCAGATTAATTAGTTAAAGTTATGTTGAAGATATGTTAAAGTTAAGTTCAAGTTATCTAAAATCTAATCTTTCATACAATAATTCAAGCTGAATATTGCATTAGGTCCTAAGTAACATTGACAGATTATCTTCGTCGACTTTCTCTTTGTATTCCCACGGCCATGTAAAGACATTCCCAGGTATTTTCAGCACACAGATCGATAAAACAAACTTTTATCTATCATCTAATATGACAAACACAACAAGAAACGACTATGTGCTTAAGTTATTAACGAAAAAGAAAGTCGACGAAGAGAATCGATCAATGTTAGGATCGCAGTAGGCCGCACTTGAAAGCTGACGTGTTTTTCTTTTGCTGCCTATTTTTCGTCAGCGAATTAAATATTTTTTGCTTGCTTTAAATTTGTTAATTTGTGTGCTGAAATTTAGTTTCAAGTGTTCGTAAAGTTATCATTTAGTGATATATCGTGTTTCGCCTGTGTTAGCCTTGAGTGACTTGGTTGACTTTGAATCTAACCTCTAAAATCTACGACGCAGCTTCAGTTTCATTGTTCGGTGTTGAAAATTGCCTCCCGGAAGCTCGGTTCTCCGAGTTCGGATGACACATTTTCGACGCGTAGTTCTGTTCTCTTGAGATATTCGTCACCGAGGGCGAGTTTGAACCCGGTCCGGTTGGTGAATTAGCCCTGTAACGTGCTGATAATGTGTCCGTCGAGAGTTTTGGTGGTAATTCGGTGGCCGACGTTGCCGTGAGTCAGCAAGTTTTCCGCTGTCGTTGTCGGAGATTGTGAGCAATATGAAGGATGCCTCGCTGGATGCGCCCGGGACTGGACGGGTGGAGGCTGGTGGCCGCGGAAGGTTCCTGGGGAAGGCACTGGACGCGAACCTCCTCCCAGATGACCATGGCAGTTCAGGACAATTTGTGTTCGTTGTTCGTTTGTTTTGCTTCTGTTTCTCTTTGTTTTCGCAGTAGTAGTTTCTAGTGAAAGAAATGATCTCCATCACATCACTAAACATAACCACGAGCAATGACGAGGAACTGCATCCCAAACCCCATGATAAACAAGGAGCGGATGCATCCAACGAAACTTTTAAGCGCAAAAGAATCATTACCAACATAGGAGAAAATTCGGTAAGATCCTTCCATTGCATTATTTTATGATTCTTCAATATTGTAAATATTTACACATTACACACAACTACACATAGTAACTCGGAACGTTTGGTACGGTATGTCCACGCATCCTTCCACCCCTGTAGATTCAAGAAATGTTCCCATTCATTTCCAAGAATCATCTTTGTGGAAAATACAAAGCAGTAGGCCTGGCCGTATTGATGTTTATATCATATCTCAGATATGCTGTAAACATCAATTAGCCAAGGCAAATGATTAGACCTCATCTAACCAAATCATTTTACAGGACGCTTTCTCATACTGGCTGCGTTTGTATTAGATTAGATTAGATTAGATTAGATTAGATTAGAAGAGAATCGATCAATGTTATTTAGGACCTAATGCAATGTTCAGCTTGAATTATAGATTTTTCCGAAGAGAACTAATTTTCAAGACATTTCTTTCTGAACGCAATATTTCAACACAAGCAGATAAGGAACTATGTATATTTGTCAACGAAATCGCACTAAATCTTCAACTAAATTTTCATCGCTCTGTACTAAAAATTACACTCACAATAGTATCGAGTTAAAAGAACGAATTAACTACCATTCATGCACGCTCATTCCTACACACAGTACACATACGCTCACTGCATTTCCTCCTCCGCCGTTCCCCATTTCGGTTTCGGTTTCGGTTCCGACCAAATGTGACTCCGTACAACAAACCCAAACTGCTGGCTGCAACAACTGCGAACAGACGGTCATAAATAAAAATTAACTTTTGTCCCTCCGCCCCCCCCCCACCCTCGGCTTTTTTAGCCGACCACCACCCCTCCTACCGATCATTCCGACCATCATTGAGCGAAAATGACGACGATGGAAGCTCCAAAAGCCAGACCCCATCGGGACGACGCGCGATGCGATGAGTGCATGACCAAGGCCAAGCTATTTTTTCGGATGTCTGGTTCGGGTTTCCTTCCCCCCTTTCCGTTCCCCTTGCTGCTGCTGCTGCTACTTCTTTCGCGCAATAATTTTCGTGTTCGGTTCCGGAGCCGGGTTCTTGACGGTTCACCTACCTAAATGCTGTTGGGTGAGGTTAGGGGCGGTTTGGTGTGTATTTTTTTTTGTTCTTTAATGCCATTCAGTTATTCTCGTGTTCGTTAAGTTTTGTGTGTAGTTTATAGTTCTCTGCAGGTTTCCTTCGATTTGAGTTGTGTGAGTGTGTTTGTGCGGACACAAGAGTGCGTTATTCGTTGCATGCTTATTTTTTTTTTCGTCGATGCAATTGCGTTTTAAAGTGCAATTTCGGTTCAGTTGAGTTGCGATGCAGAACCGAAAGCAAGCGACTCAGGCAGACATATTTTCAAGGAGGGGGGGGGGGGGGCAAAGAGATTGGGACGGGAAAGCAGTAACCACAAATTGTATGTAATTATTTTCGGCATTCTTGATGGTTCGGTGGGGTTTGGTCTGTGTCGCTGTTTCTGGAGTTAATAACAGAACATAGCTTTGTAGGAAAAAGGGGTTCTTGGCGATGGGGAACTCTGATGTGGATAGATGGGCAATGAAAGATATTCTCATTGTTTTGTAGTACCCATAAAGAAAACCATGAGGTTTTCAATCTTTAGTTTTGAATCAATCAAAGCAAGTCAAAAAAAAATTGATATTAGGTGGATCAAGGAAATTGTAGGATTTTTACAGAAGGTCCGAGAAGCTCTCGGAATTTCCGATAAGTAAAGCAATGTTTCAAGAACTTTGGGGAAGTACAGAGAGCTTCAGATAATTTTTGTACTGAAGAACTTTGTCCTGAACGAAAGGCGGTACAAACTTTATATTCCCTAAAGACGACCAAGCCCAAAGATTGAAAGATTGTACCGCTTTGATCTAGCTTCAAACTGATAATCCATACCATCAAAATAGTATTTCTATGTTTTATGGCGGGCTGATTACAGATAAGTTTTTACCCGTGCCCTAGTTTTAATTAGAGAGAACTAATTTGTGTACATTCCGAAATTACAAACTTGAAGGAAGCGCATGGATTCGAGGTGGCTGGGGTCGCTCATATGAAACATCAATGAGTAACTAGTTCTAAATTTAACGTTACAACACTGATATAACTCCAATATGTCATGATTGGAAGGCACCATAAATAGAATATACAGTTTTCATGGATGTTTACTCTTCTGAATCATATCCTAACTTGTGCTATTTTTTATTAAAAAAATCAGTTTAATATCTCCCATGAAGCAAAACATTAGCAAACCCATCAATAAAGCTCGTTCCAAAGTCATAAACCCAATGTCGCAACGACACAAAAATCCACTCAATGTCAATAAATTTCACTTTTCGACCGCACGGTCCATCATTAATCATACCAGAATAACTCTCGACTGCATGCTGCAGTGCTTCACCCCCCGTCAGTCAGAACAAAGAACATGCTGCGAATCGCAAAAAAAGAAAACCATCAACAACAAAAAAATGTAAAGAACGCACATCAAAAAGGCCAAGCCAAAGTGCAACAGACGTGAACGCTACTGAATACACACCAAAAAAACATTAAACTACCGAACAAACGAACTCACACATCAAAGTGTGTAACAACATCAACAAAAACAACAAAGGCTACAACTCAGACAGTTCGCGAAAATGATCCGAAAAAAAAAATAAAACCGAGAAGAGGAGCGAACTCGATTAACTGCAGTTACGCCCTGTGCCGAAAAGCTACACGCAAAAAAAAATTCTAGTGGTAACTCACACTCGCCCGCTCACTCGCTCGTCAACAACTCAACAGCAACGTAGTTGGCGTAGGTCAATTGCACTGCCGATGAGAGTG